GGAATTTGATGTTGCCTTTACATGTACCACTTTTGTAATTAAAATATACCAAGCTAGTTCACTGTGAGGTCAGATATGAGGTCCGAAAATGTATTTGAAAGGCTACTGATATATAAAGAAGCGTTTAATTTAAGCTGAATAACAGTGTTAGCGGGTGTGCAGCACGGCACATGCACTTGTGATGTGGTGTGAATGCTTGACCAAGCTCCCTCAGCTAGATGTGTTTATTAAAAGCAATGAGGTTAGCATCAGGTGTCGAAGACTTGCAGAACTTTATATTGCGGCGCTGTTTACCACTACAACTCACCCCCCCCATGTGAAGAAGTGGTGACCCTAAGACGTGATTCATCGTAAACACCGTCTGTTTTTCCGTCTTTTCCAGCCGTCCTGGGAAGAAAGAAATGTAAGTGCCAGTCAAAATGCACTTATGCTCACGTAAGGACACGAAACGGGAGAAAAATGAAAATAAACCAGTGCACACGCGTTTTTTAACTTACAGTAAAGTAGAAACAATTTTCCCACAGTGACTTATTGAATTTAAATTTTGGAGAAAAATATATACACATATATGAAAGCATATAAGACACAAATGTGTTTTTTTACTTAATAATAGGAAAAATTAGGATAAAACATGTTATGTATTGTCCTATGTACAGTAATCTTTTCAGTTTTGCAGAGTCCCTACCATTCTTCCAAGACGTGTTGTTTTTGGCCGGTTGCCAGATATCACCAAAGTTTCATCATGATCGTTGATTGTCTTGTGAGATGCTTTAATTGTGAGGCTTCGGTCGTCCGACTGAATCGGAGGAAAGTCAACAATATTAAGGTCTCCTTCCAAGTACGTATCTTTAAAACGATTGATTCTGCTGTTATCGCTAGATTTATCCTTGTTGATGATATAATGCCTAGGTGTACAATGAAAAACTTTGAAGGGTCCTTCGTATGCCGTCTCGAGAGGACATCGTAACGAGTCGAGTGAAAAATTTGTAGGCCTACCCGTGTAGGAGTTTATATTCTCTTGAAAGTCGGGGCGTCGTTCCGTAAACGATTTGTGCCGCAGTGTATTCAATGTCAACTTTTACTGCATTGCGGATACCAAGTAAGACGACTGGGAGAGCGTCGGCTCACTATGAAATGTTTGCGGCTGCAAGTGAAGCTTTTAGCTGTCGTTGAAATAGTCCTACCAACCCGTTTTCTTATGGATGGTTAGCAGTTGTTCGGAAGTGTGTATTTTTTAGTGTAGTTTGTGCTACTGATGTGGAGAAATGCAGGTGTTATGTATTAGTCGAAAGTAAAGTTCCTGAGTGCAGAAGGTAAAGTAGACCAAAGAAAAAAGAGCGAGAACAAAGAATGATTGGTGTGGAAAACAAAGAACAATGGAGTCTGGGACAACGGACTGATATTTACAAAATGAAACAATGAAGACTGAGACAAATGATTGACATTTTGCAAGTTACGTATTTACTATATGGTCCTCAGATTTTACTAAGATTTTCTGTAGTGTCGCCTCCAAATACATTTGATTGCCCTCAATTATGTTCCTGTTCTCTACATCTGGTGCCGTTGACAACCAGAAGAAAGGGAATGGTGCTGTTGTGCGGACTTCATTTTAGTGCAGTCTGAGATGGAGAAGTAGTAGGACGACGGAAAAGTCCATAGTCGAACTACAGTTCTCGGTCTGTGGTGACAGTTGAAGGTCAACCGAAGTTTGCCATCACTGCTTGCACTGATCTAGCACGACCGAAAGCATCTGCGTTCCACTTAGACATCATAGGTTCTCTACATTTATAGGCCGAATTAGACTATACGTTCAGTTCTCTTTACTTTCCTACTTTGCAGTTGTATTAGACAGTTTTTCCGCCCTTTATTTTTACTTGAAGTTGACAGGTAACTCACTGGACCTATCGATGCTGCTCAACTAAACTCGGTCGCTAAGGGACGCTCACTGCTATCTTAAAAAGTCATGAAAACCGTACAATAAATCGCCTACCACCAGTGGCATTCCATCTATGGAACATGCAGCCCATCAACCGGTTAGGATAGCACAAAATAACATCAGCATCAAGTTAATGTGAGTTCCTTCTTATCTATTCTTTATCAGCTTTTTACTCCCCTGCACTTTATGTTGACTTACCATTAGTTTTATTGCACCACTCATTAACTTATCTTTAACTCACATATTTCTATACATTTCCACCTACTTTGTTAAACATTTATCCTACATTATACCCTACATAATGCATATACTTTGATTGGCAACCCATGCTGTTTGCTATAGTTAATTAAAGCATTGCATTGATGCCTTATCCACAGTCCATAATTTTTAACTGCCTGATGAACTTGTAAGATGGAATTTATAGAAAGTGTTTTTCAACAGTATGCGAAACACAGCATCGAGTGAAGTATGATATATATTCAAAAATAAGCTTAAATGAGCCTAACATGATAAAATGTGTGAGAGTGGCGTTACTGACCAGCAAGCATTGATGGTGAGGGCGATGACATCAATCCACTCATTTTTGTGGGGCAGAACATTTCGTTGGTATCAGGCTCTTTATGATTGAGAACAAGTCAACCAATCTGTGATAATGAAGTTGTTCTCCATAGATCATATTCGGACTCATATTACCACCTACGGAGCCCCTATCTCCTAGAACAAACTTCACGTACGCGTTTTCCCATGGTCATAGTTTACATAAAACGCTCATCAGATATATATATTATTTTGTGTCTTTAGGCCCTCTCGTTAGTATGCACTTTATTCGCCAATCGAAATACGACTTATTCGCTCTTGTACTGTACTAAACCTATGACGTTCGACCAGTATGATCAGCCTAGTATCCTATTGCTCCTTTGCTCAAGAAGTGTTGCAAACCTATGTAATTTTTCTGCCATGCGTATTCCATAGAACCATTGCATATCATCGTATCCTTGGTGAGGAAGATTTTTCCTGGGTTTGTATCTGTATTTCTAAACTTCTCTAAGGTCATAATCATGTTAGTCTTGAAAAAATTACTTACTTACTTACGCCTGTTACTCCTCGTGAAGTAGCATAGGCCGCTCACCAGCATTCTCCATCCAGCCCTGTCCTGGGCAATCCTTTCTAGCTCCGTCCAGTTGTAATTCATCGTTTTCATATCTGCTTCTATAATCCGACGCAATGTGTTCTTTGGCCTTCCTCTTTTTGCTTCCCTTCAGGATTCCAAGTTAGGGCTTGCCTCGTGATGCAGTTTGACGATTTGCGTAATGCATGTCCTATCCATTTCCATCGTCTTTCCCTAATTTCCTCTTCAGCTGGAATTTGGTTTGTTCTCTCCCACAGAAGGCTATTGCTGATGGTATCCGGCCAATGGGTGTTGAGTATCTTGCGTAGACAGCTATTTATAAATACTTGTACTTTCTTGATTGTGGTTGTTGTAGTTCTCCAAGTTTCAGCCCCATACAGTAGAACTGCCTTAACGTTGGTATTGAAGATTCTCACTTTGATATTTGTTGAAAGTTGTTTTGAGTTCCATATGTTCTTCAATTGTAGGAATGCGACCCTTGCTTTGCCGATCATCGCCTTTACGTCTGCATCTGAACCTCCTTGTTCATCGATGATGCTTCCTAGGTATATGAAGGACTCTACATCTTCTAGAGTTTCTCCATCAAGAGTGATTAGATTGCTGTTTTCTGCCTTGAATTTGAGGACCTTGGTTTTCCCTTTGTGTATGCTGAGGCCTACTGATGCAGAGACTGCTGCTACACTGGCTGTCTTCATCTGCATCTGTTCGTGTGTACGTGATAGGAGGGCTAGGTCATCTGCGAAGTCCAAATCGTCTAATTGATTCTGAGCTGTCCATTGTATTCCATGTTTTCCTTCAGATGTCGAGGTCTTCATAACCCAGTCGACCACCAGAAGAAAGAGGAAGGGAGAGAGTAAACAGCCTTGTCTGACTCCGGTTCTTACTTGGAATGCATCTGTCAGCTGTCCTCCATGCACTACTTTGCACTGTAGTCCGTCGTATGAGTTCCGGATAATATTGACAATCTTCTCAGAAACTCCGTAGTGTAAAAGAAGTTTCCATAACGTCCTCCTATCTGCACTGTCAAATGCCTTTTCATAATCAATGAAGTTGATGTATAGTGATGAGTTCCACTCAACTGATTGTTCGACGATGATCCGTAGTGTTGCAATTTGGTCTGTGCACGACCGATCCCCATGGAATCCAGCTTGTTGATCTCGAAGTTGGGCGTCTACTGCATCCTTCATTCGGTTCAGCAACACTCCGTTGAAGACTTTCCCTGGAATTGACAGTAGTGTAATGCCTCTGTAGTTTTCACATTTGCTCAGATCTCCTTTCTTTATAATCTTGACGAAGTGCCCTTCTTTCCAGTCCATCGGCACTTGTTCCTCCTCCCAAATCTTTTTGAATAGAAGATAAAGCATGCTTGTGGTTGCTTCGATGTCTGATTTCAGTGCTTCAGCTGGTATTATTATTATTATTATTATTCACAAACATCTTATGGGTACATAAGTGTTGTGAAGAAACCATTTCGGGTTTCTTCAAAAAAATGCAATAATACACAATTTTCAATAATGTCAGCATTCTACTGGCCATTAAAAAAAAATTTTGAGCAATAATAGTAGAATATTAATAATAATAAATCGGGTCTGTGCAATTGAGAAGAATATTGAATTGAGTCTAAAGAAGGAAATGCAGAAAATAAGGGAATAGAAATAAAGGAGACGTGAAGTACACAAACAGTTTAATAGGCGTGTTTATGAACATAAAACAAGAACAAACGACTATGTGTGTATCGTCAAATTAGTAAGAAAAAATAATTAAGAAAAAATAACTTATAATTGCAGTAAGATATGACGCTAGAATAAATGTTTGTGCAGTACATAGTTTGGAGTGATGCTATGAAAGTCTCAATTAAGTGAAAAGGATAATAAAATATCAATATGTATGAGTCATATATGCATAGTGAAGATAAAACGGGTCTGAGAATTTAATTTAAGTGTAACACAAGTTATTGTTTTAATTACAAACTTCGTAATCTTAAGAATAATATTTATTTAGAGGGAAAGAATGGAGTGAAAAGAAGTGAACACCTAGTGAAAAGTTTTGATTCATGATAAGAATAATAATTGTGTAATAAATATCAACCTCAGAAGGAAACCAACAATTTAGAAAAATAAAATAAAAATCCTTCAATGCACTCGGATGAATACATTTAGATTTATGTAATAGTATACAGAGTGAAACCGGATATTAGTATAAATATTTGTGCAATAATAATTAAGATTGATGCTATGAAAGTCAAAATTGATTTTAAAGGACAATCTGGAGTTAAATATGTTTAGAAGGATAAGAAGATACAAAAAGAATATCTAATGTGTCAGGGAACTAATAATGATATTAATAACGGAAATAATGATAAACACGAACATAATCAGATTTCATATATTAAGATAAATAGAAATAAAATAAAATAGATGTGGAAAGATTTAAAGGTTTTATTTTGCTTTTCAAGCAATTAAATGGATGACGGACCTTGTTTGTATAAATCATTATTGAATACATTGATATTCAATAGGTGACATAATCCACTTTCGGAAAGAAAATCGTCAAGGAGACTTTTGAACCGGGTTGTAGTTTCACTGCAACGGAGGTTCACTGGCAGTCTGTTCCACATGGTTGAGTAGCGAATAAGGAAAAAATTCTGACGTAAGTTTGTGTGGGTTCTTGGAATCGCTAGAATATTCTCCTTATTGCGTAGATTGTGGGATGATATCATAAGGTATGAAGGGGTGGATACCGAAGAGTAGGAAATACCGTTAATAAGCCGGTAGATAAAGACAAGATTTAATTTGATACGTCTGATCCAAAGAGGCTCTAAGTTGAGTTGTTGACATCTTTGGTAATAGTCTTTGTTATCGGAATACCGCAGAACAGCTTTAGTGAACCTTCTTTGAACACCTTCAATTCTAATCAGATCAGTATGTCTACAATTACTGTAAACTAAAATACCATATTCAAGAATGGGTAAGATACATTTTCTGTATAGTAACAATCTCGATTCGATATTATTGAAGTTTATCATTATCAATCCGATGAGCTTTCTAGCTTTGGATACTTGAGATATAATGTGTTCAGAAAAGTTCAGACTGTTGCTATATCTTAAACCCAGGTCACGAACAGTGTTAAGAGGTTTGAGTGTATGTGTCTGTACAGTCAGATTTAAGTTAAGACAGCGACCAATGTGAATAAATCCACTTTTGTCAACATTAAGTGGCATATTCCACGAAATAGTCCATTCGTACAACTTGTTTATTTCCTCTTGGATTACCGCTGAAATATAGCTTTCTTTCATGGGAGAAGAGAACGAATAAACTACTTTCAGGTCATCAGCAAAAAGAAAAGGCTTACCATACTGAAAGAGGGAACACACATCATTGATAAAAAGGAGAAAGAGTAATGGACCAACCACACTTCCTTGTATAACCCCGCTGGTTACATTCACAGGTTTAGAGTAGCATGATCCAAAGCGAACGATTTGGCTACGTTCTTCTAAAAAAGATTTGAGCCAAGATAAAAGGGGATTCTGTATGCCAAATGAAGAGAGTTTTAAAAGAAGAAGTTTGTGTGAGACACTGTCGAAAGCCTTACTAAAATCGAAGTAAAGAATTATCACTGACTGACCAACATCTCTTTTCTGGGTAATTTGATCAAAAAACTCCAGGTGCGATGTGAAACATGAGCGTTTAGTCATAAACCCGTGTTGGGATGGGCTGATCAGACTAGCCGAAAGTAAAAATGATAGTAGCTGTTTGTGGATGATTTTTTCCATGGTTCTTGAGAGCACGGATGTCAAATTAATTGGCCTATAGTTAATAATATCACTACGTGGTCCTGTTTTGAATCTAGGGGTGATAAGGGATGTTTTCCATACAGATGGATAGGTCCCATATTCCATAGATAGATTGAAAAGTTTCAAACAAAATAGTGGAAATTCTCTACTTCCATATTTCACAAATGATGAAGGTATCCCGTCAGGTCCACCATCATAAGACTTTTTCAGGGCAGCTATGGCCTGCTTGATGTTGGAGGGTGTAAAATCAATTTTCGACAGATGTCTGGATGTCAGCATTGGAAATGTAATGATGGAGTTTTCAGTTCCAGTTTTGTAGCACTGCGAGAAGTGCTTGCTGAATTGTTCACATATAGTATTCGGGTCGTTAACAATGCTTCCGTTAACTATGAAGAATTTAGTCGTGCCAAGGGAATTTGACTTTACACGGGATTTAAAAAGCCGAAGTATTGATAATTCTGGGCTTTTACTACGTAGAGCTTTATTTTCTATATTCATAAAATACTTACGTTTAGATGAAGCATTTCTGTTGATTAATTTAAGTATACTCTGAAGTGCATACACATCATTCTGCTCGTAGTAGCGGCATTTTAATTTCCTCAGCTTTCTTTTAAAAGTATTTTGGCCCCTATTAGCATTATAAGCCACACGGCCAATAACTGGAGCAGTGCAGTCAAGACAATATATCAGGTTGTGGTATAGATTGGAAAGCGCAATGTCAACATTATTTGTGGTAAAATAAGTTTCCCATGGTAAACATTGAATGAGAGTTCCAGTCCGTTTCCATGTTTGTTGATCAAAATGTCTGCTTTGGTACATCAATGAAGCTTTAGAGTTCAATTGTATGGCGTTTAAAGAGTGAATAATACCCAATACAACTCTATGGTCACTCATAAAAAACTCATGACTGGTATGTACTGAGATAGAGTCTATGTTGATTGTGAACATTAAATCAAGTGTATTATTCCCCCTGGTTGGTTTTCGGACCTGTTGAACCCATCCACAAATTTCTAATGTTTCAACTAGCTTGTTATATCGACCTGGTACCGGAGTCAAGCCCCATTTAATTTTTGGCAGGTTAAAATCGCCTCCGATGATTTTAAAAGTATGCGGTTGGTGCGAAGCAATGGAAAATATGTTTGTTAGTAATTTGTCAAACTTAGTATCCGCATGAGGTGGTCTATATATGCATCCCACAAGTAAATAATTTTGGGATCCACAGTTTACAGTAACCCAAGTGGAGTCGTCTATAGCATCAAGGGATTTATCCTCAAATTTGCACGCTTGAATGTCTGAACGGACATAGATAATTGTACCGCCTCCTATTCCATAACATCTATCGGTTCTAAAGAAAACGTAGTTATCTACATTCAAGGAATGATCGGATATAGATGAATTACACCACGTTTCCGTAATAAGTACAATGGTTGGATTAACAAGGAATAAAAGAGTTTTAAGATGAATAATTTTATTAGACAGAGAGCGGGCATTGAACGAAAGAATAAGAAACTCAGAGTCATCATAGTGAAGCAGGTTAGAGTATAAATCGCAATTGGTAGTTCCATGAATACTCATAGGATTAGCTAAGGTAAGAGTCGTGTTGCGAGGGGAAATAGATTCAACCACTTTGTCATCATGTGAAATATGTTTACCGTTGCCGGCAGGAAAGCCGGCGGAATTACAAAAAAATTCTTTTCATTGCTATTGGATATAACATCTGATAAGGGCATACTGTACATATTGGGAGCCGGACCAAGAAGGCTATCAGGTCTATGGTTGTGACCAAGTGGCCAATTACAATTCAGATAACTATTTATACCTGACGTATGGGTAACGTGTTTAAGACGTTTATTTCCAAGGTTTGTGGTTGATTTCGGCTTCTTCATAAGTTGGAGAGGATTGTGTACTGTTAAACATACTTGCGATGGTTTGCGAGGTTCGAATATATCAACGTTAAGTGCGTGGTCAGTTATATGAATGTTATGATTAGTTTTCCTGTTATCCGTTGCACAGTTACTGTAACTGGGTGTTGCACTAACAGGGGTTTGGATTGTGTTATCCCATTCTTCATCAGCACAACTACTTCGGGTTGAATCTAAGTCAACATTCTTAAGAGGATGGACACCACCTACATCGGGATTACTTTCTTCTGGGTTTTGAACTTTATGAGATTCAGAAGAGTTTTTTGGTGGCGGCAAAGTTGTTAAGCTAGACGTCCTCTTAGAATCGGACTTAACGTTACAACCATTAGGATTATGATGCGTTTGAGAGTTTGAAGCTGATGGTCTGTAGTTATCTCTTCCTGCTTTTCGCTGGCATGGTGTTTTATCCGGAAGAGTCTTAATATCCTTGAAAATCTGTTTTTGTCTCAATGAATTGGAGGAATTTAAAAATTCACTGGCGTCTACAGATGAGTTGAATTTGAACAAGATCGGTGAGTGCATACCAGGATGACTTCTTTTTAATCTTGTGCATACACATGGTACGTGTGTCATATTGCTGGCTCTAAGCAGACTAGATTTGATATTTTTAAGGGCATGTGTATCCGGTATATTAAACACAATTGCATTGCTAGATCGTCTTATTCTTTCAAATACCTCTGATGCAACACGATCTAGGAAAATATTTATGTCATTCATTTGATCTGGAGTCTCTGTGAGGTTGGGGTTGATGAGATATTTAAGCGGATTGAGAATGTTCATGTCTACTTGCAACTTCTTTATAGCATC